TTAAGTTATTTCAACGCAGGTTAAGTGAATAAAAATTCAAACGTAAAGAGGCTTTGACACGTACTTCAATAGGGGGCGGGGCTAAGGTTGCCAAACTTATGGAGGGGAGTGTATCTCATTCATTGCATTGGTTGTGGTCTAGGATATGTTCATCAGGAGCTTTATGGTGAAGGTTAATCGGATATACTGATATCACCGTTTCGTAGTGTTTCATTGGTTGTGCCTGATTGTGTTTTGATTGTTTGATTATCCCCACGGACGAAGTTCCGCATGGATACAGTGAAGCCCTTCGTCCGTCAGTCCGGCAGTCAGTCAGTCCGTCAGTCAGTCAGTTTGTCCGTCTGTCTGTCCGTCCGTCCGTCTGTCCGGAAGATAACTCGGATACTTGTCAACAGATTTTCGTCCATTTGGTGGAAAGATGTATATTGGTGAATAGTTTAAGTGAATACTTTTACGCAAAACAAATTTTTTTCAAGATGCCCGCCAGTTTTAAAATTGTAGGAATTTTTCACAAAAATCTTATGTTTTTCATTTTAAATTATTATTTGAAATTTTGGTAGTATATTAACATCTATATATTTCACATATATCCTGTTTTTTACCTGACCCTAGGGGCCGTAAATGGGGGGGTTGGGAAAACAGGAATTTGCGTTAATTTTGAGATGTTTTTGAAGTATAGCTTTATTATACTCAAATGAAAGGCAATTTAGAGTAGATTGCAAATATTGTAGCGTTACTTTTTCTTTATTGCGGGATTTCGCAATTATTTTCTGATCTCTTATAAAAGTATGGCTTTATTATACTCAAATTTAAGGAATTTCAGCGTAGATCACAATCATGGCATTGTTTTCTTGATTTGTCCCTCTGAAAATTAAAATGGCTGACTAGAGCAGAAATTCGCAATTACTTAGAGTTATCTTGAAAGTATGGTTACATTTTACTACAATGATCTAAAATATTTTATTGAAGGAAAGGAGTAGATGGTAAATATTAGATTGTGACTGTATAGATTGATCATTTATATAGTGTTCGTTTGGATTTGCTACTCCGTGGAGTTGCCATTTTCTAGTTTAATCGAGTATAATAAATTTAGTATTTGGTTGATCTTGGTTGTGTTTTGGTAGGTTTGTGTCAGGTAGTGCCTAAATGATTTAGTTAAATGATAGGTCGAGGTTTTGGTTCGTGAAACGTTAGTTTTATAATGGGTTGTGTAACTTGTGTTGTGATTGTATTATATTGATCGGGTGGCAGGTTGTGCCCAGTCCGGTAAGGTATTTGGCTGTGTCCACTATGTGACTGGTGTTATCTCAAATTTGATCGATGAGAATTGGTTGTATTTTATTGGTTGTACCTGATTGTGTTGTATCAGTTTGACAGTCGTTATCTCTATGTGTTTTTTGTCTGGTATTGGTTTCGTGTCAGATTGTGCCCCGTTGCGTTATGTTAATTCTATCATGGGCTGTGGGCTCATGGGCTGTTGTTATCACGTAGTGCTGGTTGAGTAACAGATTGTGCAGATTATTAAAATCATTTTACAGTGTCAACTTTATTTTTCTAAAAAATAGATTAATGGGGTCCATCCATTAATCCGAAACTTAGTAGGCCTCTAAGAAATTAAGCTAATTATTAGAAATACCTTTATCTACATTTTACCAGAACTAAAACAAACCTTTAGCAATATTTTCGCAGATTGACAACATTTAGTATATTTTTTTGTTATTCTATAAAATAGTTGACCACATTATCAAGACACCATTAGAAGGCTTGTCCATTTTTCTTCTTAAATCTTATTTTAAACAAATGTTTGCTGTATGTGTAGCTAAATTAAAATCATGAAAGCGTCCGTAAAATCATCTATCTGTCATGTCAGTTCAATGAATATCGCTATCCAAACGTCTGATTCAAATCTCGTATGAACAAGAAAGAGGACGGTATACCTTTTCAATGATGCACTGTATTATGTTGCTATCTATTTCAAATTGTCCAAACTGTATGTCTGGGGAAAATATTTCGTGATTTCTTTTTAAAGTTCTATACGTTAGACTTGGTTTTTTTAGTTTCTAAATGTTTCATTAAACTATGCCATAAAGGAGATTGAAGTTCCGCGTAAATGTATATTTGCTTTCTTTCTTATTTTCACTACATGTTTTGCTGATCTTTTAAATGTTTTTGAGTACTTTAACTAAAGGAAAATAAACAAAATTAATTAATATGCGCTGTGTTACTTCATTAGGAATCGCCATTGTAAAATAGTCCTTTCCTGCCGTGGAAAGCCACTCCTTCTCCATCTCCGCCTTAGGGACGCTATGTAAACTGTATACGTCATTCTCACAAAGTTTAATTGATTTATCTTTCTAGAGTATTGTGTTCCGTAGAATTCGCTTTCACACTAATCATGGGTTTTCGAGTATTGGGCTTCGAAATGTTAAGGACGGGGGGGGGGGGCGTGTATCGTCGGTTCGCAGGCTCAATTACTACGTGAGGATACATGTAGGTCCGAAGCTTGATGAAGCAAGATGGAGGGGGGGGGGTGCGTGCTCTCCATATGAAATTAAACACACAATGGAAGATCATACCACCGTATTCACAAATGACATTTAAGTTTTGTGAAAATAACGTTCCTTACAAGTCTTTATTACAGGTCGTGTAGACCATTGTTGTGTGATTTATAGCAAAAACATTGACTTTTACACGTTGGTAACGATATATGCCCTTTTATATCTCATATCTCAGAAGCGTATCATTTCAAACAAAAAAAATTAGAATACCTAGCACATTTTACTACACCGTGCGCCTATTCATTTTGCAATTAAATCGTAAACTTTCCTTAAAAATAAATCTTCCAGATTTGTTGAATTTTGCAGAAATGCCGGCATCACCTCCTCCGTTCATTCTATGCGATCATAGGGGGTGATTCTTTATCTAACGCTCGAGAGAGAGAAGGCTGTGTCGATCACGACTTAGATGATGAATAAGGTCTATGCAGTGTTAGACGAAGTTGTCCTAGGTGTCCCAAAGACACTATTTTGTAAAGAAATCTGCCTAACATAATCTATGTTCTGAATTAAAAGAAACGCATTTGGAAAATATTGTCTCCATATTTATTTTAACGCTAAATGCGTCTGCGACCAAGACAGGGGCCTTCTTAGTCGAAAGTGCAACTTTACCTTCACTTGTAGAACACATTTAGTAAGAATGTTAATTTCAACTTTCTTCTACCGATTTGCGATGCCAGACTGTCGTGGCATGTTAGACAATACAATTTGAAAAAAGACAACACAATAACAACACAGTATCAAGCCTAATTTCACATTCTCTTCAGTAAAACTAATTTTCAAAGATTGCGCTAATAAAACTATATTTGTTATATTGCTAGGCAACTGCCACGAAGTACATGGCAAAAATTCGTCGACTACGATTTCATTGACGAGGTGCTTCGAGAAACGCAATTTGGAAAATCGTGGACAACATCGTAGAGAACAAAAATCGTCAATCTGCGAATCGTAATTGACGATATTTTCGAGAAACGAATGCGTTCATAGCGCACTTATTGCACTTAATTAAATGCTGTATGCGTAAATCATGAAATTAACGGCATAGCTGGAGTTCTACGATTGTTCATCGTATTTCATTCTAATACTCATAGCATCTTTCTATTTCACCTGAAACATCTCAGGGCTGAGAAGAAATGAGATGTCATGCAGGCCCGTAGGCAGGATTTGCCAAGGGGGGGGGGGGGTTCAGTTTTCAAAAATTTCCAGGGGGGGTTCACATTTGACAATTTTGGCCCAAATATGCCTAAAATCCCTCGAGAAGTGCTCAAAATGGTGAAGTACTGCATGAATTTGAAATAATTTTTGGCCAGGGGGGAACCCTGCGAACCCCCCTGGCTACCGGCCTGTCATGGTTTATCATGATGATCGTATTTAGCTATAATTTAGCATTTTTGAAATCATACATGGTCCACTGACGGATCCAGACCACCCCCCCCCCTCTTCCTGGGCCAAGGAAAAAAGTGTAGGGCCCCAAAAATTGTTTTGCTCAAAAATTACACAAGGCCTCAAAAATGGGCATGTTGGCCATAATTTGGCCTTTTTAGGTCAAATGTTCAAAACATGGGCCGTAAATTTTCATCTGGATCCGCCAGTGTCGTCAACGTTGTTAATTTAAAAAGGACAAATAATTGCAACATTGAAAGTGCAACTTATCAAGGTACACGCCTCCCGACGAGTGACACGTGTTGGTATAAACTATCCAATGCTGCACATAAAACGCATGCATAATACAAAAAAATGCTGGGATTGAAATTGTTTCGTAGTGTAAGCCAATTTACTGACTGAATTACTCAGTTGGAGTAACAATTCCCGGGGAAACTTTCCCGGGGACAGATAACTATTCCCTCTAATGACTAAACCAGGTACTACTACTCCACTCCACCTTTTGAAAATAACTGACTCATATATATATATACATATTTTGAATTTTACAAAAATTGATGCAACTTCCTTCAAAATTGAGCTAGAAGCTTCAAATGAAATCATTTAAAAGCTATTTTCTTCTTCTTTCTCGTGATTTTATTTTCATTGGTTATGGGGGGGGGGGGGGGGGTGCGATCGCACACATCGCACTCCCCCTGGCTACGCCTATGCGTAGGTATAGGTAAATGGGCTATTTATGCTAATCTTAAACTCCCTATTAATAAACAATTACATTACACTGATCATATTTAAAATTTCAGAGTCTCGATTACATACCAGGATGAAAGAACTTGTCTGGGACCACGAAGCATTTCTGAACGAAAGTATCCACATGATGCTAAAGAAGGAATATAGTGATGTAAAGCAATTTGACATCAATATCCCACCTTCTTGTAAAATATGGAGAAATAATGAACAAAGTAAAATAGATAAATCAATCTTAATTTATAGCAAGTATCCAAAGTCTGGAAGTACAACCATAACACTTCTGCTGTATAATATAACACTTAAAAATGGGGTCAACTTCAGATATACTTTATCTAAAGGTGAACTTGGCTATGATGGAATCACTGGTCTCCACAATCTTACAGAAATTATTAAAGATTATCCAAAGCCTGTTATTTACATTGCACATGTTGGGTTTTTAGACTTTACCAAATATGGGTATAAACAACCTGTTTATATAGATGTGGTACGCGATCCTATAGAAAAGGCCATCTCAATGTTTTATTTCCTAAAACAATGCCAGGCATGCCGAAGAAAACATAATAATACATACAGAGAATCTATGTTTAAAATGAACATGAGTGATTACATTGATAAATACGGAGTCCATACACTTCCAAGAAAAAGTCTAATAAAGTGGTTCTCAGGGATAGATGGTAATGAAAAATCAATCAATATGGCAAAACGAAATATAGAGAAGTATTATCTTTTCATAGGAGTCCAGGAGTATTATATTCAGACCATGCAAGCTTTGGAGATGCTTCTTCCTATGTTTAAAGGACAACTTCATTCACAAGTACAAGCAGGTGTAAGAATAGGTGCAACAACCCACTCAAAGTTTCCCCCAAATTCACATCAGCGTCATCTTATGAGAGAAAATCATGCTTTGGACTATGACCTTTATAATTTCATAGTACAACGATTTCATGATACTTTGAAATGCCTGAACATTCCTTAAGGCCATTTCAACTTGCATGTAAAATTTGAGTGATCATTTTACATTTAATATTTTGTAAAATTAATCCAAAGGGAATATTCACTAAAACGCTGAGTGCCAAATTTCATCATTTTTATGTAAGGAGCACAAACGAGATACTTATTGATTGTTATAGGGTAAACAACTGAGATCATCTTTACGTCAAATTGTGAGGACATAGCAGGGTAAGATCACTCACAAAACATGAGAAAGATGCTGTAAATATACTACCATCGCCAGGATTTGCCAAGGGGGCTCACTTTTGAAACTGTACAGGGCGTATCAAAGAAACGCAACAAGTAGTTATCTCGTAAAATCACAAAACTAGTGATAACTACATCAATTTTATTTAATGTACCATAGAGCCATGTTTCTCCTCTTCGCAATGATATGTCATTCATTCACATGTGGTAATGGTTGGGTGAGAAATCCTTCCATTTGCACAGTGGGTCAAAATCGGCTCTGCGCCAAGTTTTAGATATTGAAAAAATCAGTGCAAGGGCTAAGTGCCAATGGAAGTTCCCCTGACTTGAATTGTTGTGACTTTTTCTTTTGGAGCTATCTCAGGAGCATCTGTGCTCACAATTCCTCCACCAGATATTGCAAAACCTCGAGAAAGATTTGCCCATCGGCTGCTTTACCTTGCTTTAACCTACACATGATTCAGGGCTGAATCATGCATGGCGTTGACAGATGAGCGCATCTTTATGTGCAAGGAAGTGGTGGCAATTTGAAGGGGTATAGGATGTATACTTGCAAGAGTATGAGTATGAACACTTTACTGTCTATGCTATACCTGTCACACCTTCTTCCAATAGCCCCTATGGCCCCTGTACCGACTTTTGCAATGTTTTGAACTTGGTTCCGAGCTGAATTTTGCCCCACTTTGCAAAATTAATGATTATTCGGCCACAGATGACTCCCTGTGAATGAATGATATTCCATTGCAAAGAGGAGTAATTTGGCTTTTTGTACATTGAATTAAAAGGATGTAATGCAGTCAGCATTGGTTTTATGTTTTCGTCCGATATTCACTGCTACCCACCTAGTTACACAGACGTATCGTCAGTGTATTATGGCTGAACTACTTCCGGGATTTGAATTTGGTAAGATATTTTTATTTCTCGATTTACATCTACTTATAAGACACGATGTGGATTATAATTTGGCTCGAAGTTATGGGAGATAGTCTAGTTTGAGAATGTGTCGATGGTTTTAGGTTTGGTATGTTAACGAAGACGCATTTCACATATTTAGTCCCTCGCTTTTGTTACACTGACGATCGGCATTAATATTGCCAATATTACACTGATATTGGTCGTTCGTCAGTGTAACAAAAGCGAGGGACTAAATACGTGAATTGTGTCTTCGTTAACATATAAAACCTAAAACCATCCACACATTCACAACCTAGACTATCTTCCTTAACTTCGAGCCAAATTATTATCCACAACGTGACTTATAAGTAGATGTAAATCGAGAAATAAAAAAATCTTACCGAAACCTAGTCCCGGAAGTAGTTCCGCCATGATACACTGACGATACGTCTGTGTAACTAGGTGGGTAGTGATATTGCATCGGGCTCCGTACACTGACTTTTGCAATGTCTATAACTTGGCCCGAAGCTAACTTTGGCCCACTTTGCAAATGAAATGATTACTCACCCAACCATGACCAGATATCAATGAATGATATATCATTGTAAAGAGGAGACACGTGGCTTTATGGTGCATTAAATGAAATCAATGCTGTTATCACCGGTTTTGTGCTTTTCCAAGATAACAATCTCTTGAGTTTTTTTTGATACGCATTGTATAACTTTCAAAGATCTTTTGGTCAGGGGGGGGAGGTCCCTCGAACCCCACGACCCCCCTCACCCTGCCTATGGGCTTGACCAAAATTACAAACAAAAATACTTATTACTTTTGTTTAAAATGTTAAACTTAGATTTTTGTGAAAAATTCCCGCTAATTTTGAAATGGCAAGCATCTTTTTTGTATAAAACTATTTACCAATACTTCTTTCCAACAAATATGAAGAAAATCTATCTAGTATACAAGTAATCTTCCGGATGGATAGACAGATACTAGTAGATGGACTGACGGATGGACAGAGGGATTTACTTTATCCTTACTGAAGTTTGGTTTGATTGTAAATTGTGATACATGAAGAGGAATACTAGACATTGAATTAAAATGTCCCAAAGCCTTGCAACTGTGAATTGTAATATATGATTCCACATATTCCTGGATGTTTGGTGTGGGGATGCTCAACATTAAAATAATGTCCAGGCCCATGGTCTTGCAATTTTGAATTGGTATAGTTCCTGAATGGCAGGGGGATCATCCAGTTAAAAGTATATTCCACTCGATTGCAACCATTCTTTTATATTATAGGTAACACTTATATGTTTTTGATAAGATATGATATTTTGGTGAAATAAATTATATAAACAATAAAAAACAATTATGAACGTATTTTGTTCTGTGGAATATGAAATTAAGAGATCAAGGGGCGTGGCTAAATAAATGCAAGATCGACTCTCCTCATAGAACCTTATCTTATTGGCTGATCAAATGGCTGATAAGAAAACAAAAACATAGGTCTGCTCTCAGAGGGGGATTAACCCCAGAGTTCAAAGATGACATACGCTTGCAATGTAAACCTGTATTGAGATGACCCACGTCTCTGATAGGTCAAAACGACAAACAAAAATGCCGGATTCAAAATTTCACAACAATATAAAAAAGATGTTAGGAACATGCTTATATCGATTAAAAGATCACAACGACGCGTTAGATTTGAAAACTAAACTGGTGAAAATTTGCGCAAACGAAGCAAGAGACGTAATATGTCTGTCATCGGTAAAGCTCTGGGGCTTTCCCCCCTCTTGTCTGCTCTGTATGTATGGGATGCCGCCATATTGAAAAAAAGATTTTGCTTTCTTCGTGCACATTTCCTTGATTCAGTAGATCTATGCATTTGATCGTTAAATATTAATAAAAAAATGAAACGATGATTTATCTTCATTTATAATGTCAATGCCATTACGGATATGTGTATTCGGCACATCAGCAGTGTTAGAATTTTTTTCCAAAACTGAACTTTTGTTCATGTTGATAGGATTGTTTCTCAAACTAGAAACTTGCCTCATTCTAAAAATGTTAGATTATCAATATGCACAATATCTCACACGACTGTAGGAAATAGCAATTATTGAAGAATTGCACAAAAACTATTTGTATTTATGAATTTTAAACACAGATTGACTTTGATTGAACTCCTGTACACTGGCAGATGATTAATTGGTCCTTTATAATCAATATACCTTTATGACGAACAAAATTATTTGAATTTGTATTGGTCTTATTACTCTGAAGTCGAGACCTGACCTTTTTAATCTATCATTTGACCTTTTGAAAAGTAATATATGCACAACTCCTGAACTCCAATGATTAGTTTATTTTATCAACTTTTTTTAACTATCACAACTGTGCAGGTAAACTAACAAGCGAGTTCCATAAACAAAAGATATTGAATGTGTAGACATGAATGTTTGTTTTGTATGTTTTAATAAAAAAAAGTTTATTTCATCAAGTCATATAAATAAAATCAAGGTACAGCAGGAGTCATGACTAAATGAAATTCAGACCTTTGACAATATTGAAAATTTTAAATGATGAAAATCAACAATCTTATTGATTAGTTGAAAGATGAAACTAATCAAAATACTTTGACTGAAGGATACAAACAAACAGACTAACAAACAAAGAAACAAACAAGAAAGCAAAAGGACACAAAAAACAAACAATAATCATTAGGACTTATGATGCATGATAAAAAAATAAATCACTTGTGGGAAAGAAACTTATGAACTGGGACCAAATATTAAGATTTTTTGTGTATCCTCTATAGTGATAATTCTAGGGTGTTATGTTGTGTATGACACAAAGAAGCCTCGCTAGTACAATATCGCTGGATTCATTCAAAAAATCCATGTTGCACAGCGCATGCTTTGAGGATTCGCGTTGTTTGAACCTACCGCCGAGCACACTTATACATTAAGACCCGTTACACAGTCATGATACCGCCGAGCAAGCTCATTGCATCATCGGGTCTGCTTTACCCCCGTGAGTCTCGATTACCTACCAAGAAGAAAGAATATATCTGGAGCCAAGGATTATTTCTGAATGAATCAATCCATATGATGCTGAAGAAGAAAAATAGTGACATAAAGGAATTTGATATCAAATACCCACATTCTTGTAAAATGTGGAGACATTATGAACAAAGTAAAATAGATCAATTAATCTTAATTTATAGCAAGTATCCAAAGTCTGGAAGTACAACCATAACGCATCTGCTGTATAATATAACACTTAAAAATGGAGTCAACTTCAGATATACATTATCTAAAGGTGCCCTTGGTTACAAGGGAATTACTGGACTCCAAAATCTTACAGGAATTATTAAAAATTACCCTTAACCTGTTATTTACATTGCACATGTTGGGTTTTTAAACTTTGACAAAATTGGGTATAATACACCTGTTAATATAGATGTGGTACGCGATCCTATAGAACAAGCTATCTCAATGTTTTATTTCCTAAAACAATGCCAGGAATGCCGAAGAAAACAGAATAATACGTATGGAGAAACTTTCTTTATGAACATGAGTGATTACATTAATAAATACGGAGTCCATAAACTTCCAAGAAAAAGTCAAATTGAGTGGTTCTCAGGGATAGGTGACGATAAAATGTCACTCAATATGGCAAAACGAAATATAGAGAAGTACTATCTTTTCATAGGAGTCCAGGAGTATTATATTCAGACGATTCAAGCTCTGGAGATGCTTCTTCCTATGTTTAAAGGACAACTTCATTCACAAGTACAAGCAGGATTTAGAATAAATGCAACAACCCACACAAAGTTTCCCCCAAATTCATACCAGCTTCATCTTATGAGAGAAAAGTATGCTTTGGACTATGACCTGTATAATTTCATAATGCAATGATTCCATGGTACTTTGAAATGCCTGCACATTGCTTAAAGCCTCAGACATGAACAAAACTCCTCATCCATCAACTTGCATGTCCTGGAGAATTAAGGACTTGCAAAAAATTCATTCCCATTGGTATATGTATATTGTCCATCATTGGTGGTTCCATATATATGGAAGTACGACTTCTGAAAGCCAAAGAGTTTTTAAAGGTTTTGGAAACATGCACAAATTGCCAGAAACGACTTTACCCAATTTCACTGGTACTCACCTGGTTACGCTGACGATACGCCAGCGTAACAAGATGGAAGAACTTCCGGGATTCGTTTTCGGTAAGATATTTTTATATCTCGATTTTACACCACTTGTAAGTCAAATTGTGGACAATAATTTGGCTCAAAGTTGAGGAAGATAGTCTAGTTTGAGAATATGCAGGCCGTTCTATGTGTACGAAGACGCAATTTACATATTTAGTCCCTCGCTTTTGTTACGCTGACGTAAGATCAATGTTACGCTGACGAAGGTGTGACTTGGAGCTGTTGTAACGTTGACGAACCATATTAACATTGGCGTATATTGAGCAACAATCATGAATACATAGTTCAACTATATTTCAGAGAGTCCTGAAAGTTCTAAAATCACAAGGGTGATGCACTGAGCGTTCAGAGACAGGTACTCGACGAGAAATGAGGATACTATATTTATAGATCCCATCATTTTGGTGTGAAATGCAGTAAGGTTAAAACTTGGCAAGATGAGGGACATCGGATACAAATTGATTCGAACTTTAAGTTGTACTCAAACCATTTTACTCGGTTTAGCTATGCCATATTTATGATAGTGAACCATCAACAATTCCAAAAGTTCATTTAAACATGATATTGGTGATATAAAGTCAGCACATGTCTGTTTTTCATAGCATAGCATAGCACAGCACAGCACAGGATAGCATAGCATAGCAGCAAAGCATAGCATTGTACTGCACTGAATAGCATAGCATAGCATTGAATTGCATTGTATTTTATTATATTGTATTGCACTGCGTTGTATTGTACTGCAGTGCACTGCATTGTATTGCACTACATTGTATTATATTGCACTGTATTGTATTGCATTGTATTGAATTACACTGCATTGTATTGTATTGCACTGCATTTTATTACACTGCATTGTATTGTATTGCACTGCATTGCAATGTATTGTATTGCACTGCATTGTATTGCACCACATTGTATTGCACTGCATTGTATTGCACTGCACTACATTGTTTTGCATTGTATTGCACTACACTACATTGCTTTGCATTGTATTGCATTATATTGCACTGTATTGTATTGCACTGCATTGTATTGTATTATATTGCAATACATTGTATTGTATCATATTGCACTGCATTGTATTGCATTATATCGCACTGCTTTTTATTGCATCATATTGCACTGCATTGTATTGCATCATATTGCACTGCATTGTATTGCATCATATTGCACCGCATTGTATTGCATCATATTGCACCGCATTGTATTGCATCATATTGCACCGCATTGTATTGCATCATATTGCACTGCATTGTATTGCATCATCTTCCGTATTTACCATTTCAGTTACAGTTTTATTACATAAAATGTTATTTATAAGATTATAATTTTCAAACATTGAAAAATGTTTTGAACAATATCACTTAAACGATATGAAATGGCCCAAAATAATATATTTTCAATATTTTCGCAAGGGTCACTTCTGTTTGTGACAGTCGGTAATATGGATTGTCACCCCTACAACAATACAACACTTAAAAATTGATATGCGTTCAATAGCACTAAGCTTGTTAATATTCCCTGAATGATATTGGAAGTTAACTCAAATATCCGTTGATCACTTCGAAAAAGGCAACATTCATTAGGTTCAATGTTATCTAGTATGAGTGAGTGTTCTGATTTGACTAGCTATGAGTGAATTATTTTTTAGTCAATAAGATAATTTCATAAGCGGGGAAGGGGGGCGAATCTTTCTATTTGTTGTCAACAATAAATTACACAGAGCAAATCAACACTTGCCAACTTTTGCCATTGTGAGAGAGGGAAGAAATTGGACCATTAAGAAAATACTTTTCGCATTTCCACAACTGTCGATGATCGGATCTCTTGAAAAATTAAAATGCTTCCCCACGTTTCGACCCGTGCATAACAGGAGGTCCTCGGGCCAAGACAACGCTCTACCAATAACGCTATCAGATCATCTAAAGTTATTTGAGCCTCTAATGAATTAAATTGTGAATAGGATTTCAGTGTTGTATCAATATTGGAATGGAATGGAATGCACATATTATAAGAATATATATGAGAATTATTACAAGATTTTGATCCATTATCTCAGCTTCAGCTTTACAAATGCCCTGGGCACATGCCACAAATCTATGAGCCTGGATTTTGAGCTTTCGATACCCCATGGCATTCCAAAGATCAACATTTTTCCTTCATCAGCGTAACAAAGTGTCTTCGTCAACGTCATATAAGTAATATTCATGCAGATCGTCAACGTTACAAAAGCGAGGGAATAAATATGTGAATTGCGTCTTCGTTAATATACCAAACATAAAACCGCATGTATATTCTCAAACTAGACTATCTTCCTAAACTTTGAGCCAAATTATTGTCCACAACTTGACTTATAAGTGGTTTAAAATCAAGAAATAAAAATATCTTAACGAAAACGAAGCCCGGAAGTTCTTCCATCTTGTTACGCTGACGTATCGTCGGCGTAACTAGGTGAGTACCAGTGATTGTTGAATTTAGACATTCTTCATTAGTTTTGATTATTACATTGTAAATGTATGAAATCAGCCATTTTCTCATAGTTTTAAATGTTTAACTTTACTATTTGGTCACTCTCATTGCTGGGTCATGCTAGAAATTTAACATTTCACCTTAAGTCACAGCCCCATTAGCGGGTCCACAAGCAACACCCCCTCCCAACTACAGTAGCTACACCACACTCTCTCTGAGGTATATATCAGTTCTTTGAGGTACCATGTACTGGTATATGCCATATAAGCCATCGCATGGTTTTCATTCTATAATTAGGATGATAATTTTTTCATAAATTGTAGCATATGGTTTAGTAGCCTTTTACATTAATCTTAAACTCATTTTGCAATATGCATTACCAATACGTATTCGTAACAAACATACGGATAGGGATAGGTACACGTATATATTTTTACGCTAATCTTAACCTCCAAATTGTATTAAAATGTCCCAAAGGGGAACGCAACAGGAGTAAACGCCTTAACAGGTCCAAATCGTTTTAAGCAAGACAAGACATCAGAGAGTCAACACGATGCGCTATTTCCAGTTAGAATGCCACCTGACTTCATTGAGAGACTGTTAAAGGCAGTTGAGAAATATGTAGTAAAGTTTGAACATGTCACAAGTGATCAAGGTTTCATCACAACATCAAGTATAACATTCAATAGAAATGTACCCTGTAACTATGGAAAAGTGTAACATATTTAGCTGGCAAAGTGTTGCATTGCCCAAGTCTGTATTTTTTAGTTATCTGATCTTATTATCTAATTGGGCAAGGCTAGCAAAGTGTAACATACTTAAATGGCAAAGTGTAACACATTTAGGAGGAAAAGTGTAACATACTCAAAGGGGAAAATGTAACATTCTTTAACTATTATCAATATGTGGCTCAACATTTATAGATGTTGATATGTAACTACTGACGTGCACAAGTGATGGCCTTTCATATGCACTTTTTTACATAATGAGCAGAACATTTTTTAATATCAAAGTCTATTGAATTACATGGGGGAAATAACCACCAAATCAAATAATGTCAGAATCATCTTTACTGATACCTATATATTCATAAAACACAGGTACAACTTTTTGTAATAATTAATAAATATCTATTTATTTCAAATCCATAACCATATTCTGTATACATGTACAGGTTTCTATTTAATTCTCCTTAAAGGGTTTTATTTATATACCAGGAATACCAAAAATGCAACAAAGTAACTGCAACCCCTCCCCAAAATGTATACTCAAGCTTTTGAGAGGAATCTATGTATTGCCATCCTGCTCTTCATGAATATTTTTGTATGAATACCTGTATCGTAATATGAAAAATTTATTTCTGTTACAATTAGAGAGATTTTGCTTATAGCGTATTTATAAATCCCTTATGTTTATAACTTCTAATTTTTGTGTACAATGTCATCATTTGTATACACTGTCGGGCAAAATGCTTAAAATTGGAGTGAAATGGCCGAAGTGTTTTAATTTGTTAAAATGAGAATGAACCAAAAAGATCTAAGGTAAATAGATCGAAATTTTTGAAATGATACAAGCATTTACATGTTTGAAATGATGCTAGTAAAGTATTGAAATGTTTGAAATGATGCTAGTATTGAAACATAGGCAATGATGCAAACATTGAAATGTTTGAAATGATAGCATTGAAACGTAGGAAATGATGCAAACATTGAAATGTAAGAAATGATGAAAGCATTTGAATGAATGAACTGATTGAAATGCTTAAAACGTATTGCATTTTCATAGTGTATTCAGGACTCAACTAGACAACAGCAACGCCAAAGTGTAGCAAATCCCATCAAACAGCCATGGCTGGCAGTTTTACAAACGAAGTATATAGCAAAAATTGTAAAATAATACACAAAAAATTGCCACCATTTTCAAAATGGTTGCTCACTAGCAGAAAGTGTAATGGCCCAAATGCCCTAATACGTCACTTCCGCTGCATAGAAAAAAGTAGTTTTCAAACATGAATGTAGTCCCAACACAATTGTGATCATGACGAGTCAGTAAGCTAGTATGTAGGCACAGTTGTCATCTTTTTGCAATTAAAACATGCCATTTCTTCTGAAAATGTGGTTAATTGGGTTATATGAAGGAAAATTTCGAATCAAGTGGCATATTAATTTTGCCTTCATTTTTGTGAATTTCAATTACTGTCGGCAGAGAGAGGGGTAGTGTCACAATTGACCAATTATTTCAAAAAGTAGATGTTTGGCCCCTATTGAGTTTAGTGTCAAAATGTAGCTTAGACATAGGTTTAGAACCTCAGATAGGCCAGTGAGGCCACATAAATCCATAACTCGAGATAAAAAGTCAGGCGTTTGCCCTTTTGCCCATTGACTAGTATGGTGACGTGAATTAGGGCAGTTTGGCCTATTAGTGACATGTGGGAGTGACCAAAATTTTTTTAAACTACTCAGAATCACTCAGAATTGAAGTTAATTAGTATAAAACATGTTCTGGACGTAGGCAAAAAGGGGAATTTTCATGAACAAATTTGAAGTTTTTGCCGAATCAGCAGTTTTCGCTTTTTACCCCAAAAACCACTGATTTTGACAATATTTGGCTACAATTTCTTCCTTAATGACCCAAAGATGTCATCTGTTGTCGTAAATGGGGAAGCCAATGAGTTGCTGTTCATAATAAAGATTGAATTTTCCATCTTATGGTTTCTAGTAAAGAATGAAGGTACATATCAGGGGTACAGTCAGAGATTGGTCAGTTAAGTGTCAATTTTTGATGTATTTGTCCACTCTGAATGACAAAATTCGAGCTATAACTATCTCAAAATTCCCAATTCTCTAGGCCAGAGTCAAATCTGATCAAATTTGTCATCATTTTTCAAATCAGGGGGTTGTTGAATGGAATAAAATATCAAAAAATGATAATTTTAGTAAAAATTCTGCCTGAGTAGGTAAAATTTGCCCAATTTTCTGGTTCACTGTTCAGTGATTTTGGCTAAAAATCGCATTATGCAATAAAATACTCAATTTCTTGACACGACATTGTAAAATGTCACCATCAGGCAGTAGATTTCATGATGTAAATGAAAAACTAGTCAAATTTAAAGGAAAATCGTTGGGTTCTTGGGAAAATGACCCCAGGGGTAATAAGGTAGCCATATTTTTTATAATGGCTGTCAGAATATTCTTAAACTGCACAAAACAACTTGAAAAACTCTAGTAAATTGGAAAAACGCAATTTCAAGCCAGAAATCATCCAACCATGTTGCTTTTAAATATGCTTCTAAGTAAGCAGATATGAAATTTCAACAAAATCGCACAGCCATTTTTCAAAATGGCCACCTACTACCCAAAGTGTCATTAGACAGTGTGCCATGCTTATAGTATCCACATACCAAATATGAACAAAATCGCTCCAATACTTTTCCAGTTACAGTAAAAATCGTTAGATAGCGTGTAAAGGCCACCATTTTTCAAGATGGCTGCCATGTGCTTTTTAATATCTAAATTTCTAGCTTTATTTAAGTCCTATATAATGTTTTTTACATTTAAAACATATTGCTATTACAGTTTTACATATTTTACCTTAATTAATGTAAAATGGGCACTAAAATGGCCGCCATTTTTAAATGGGTCGCCATTTTGAAAATCAACTTTCGAGCAAAACTTCTACCTCCATAGGGTATATGTGTACAAAATATGAACAAAATCGGGCCTACGGTATTTGAGTTATCGCCTGGACGGATGTACAGATGTATGGAAAGACGTACGGATGGATGGATGGACGGACATACGGACAGAGGCGTTCCCTATATCCCTCTGAACTTCGTTCGATGGGATAATAATGAATGCATCAAATTGATACAAGATTAATCCAAATCTCCACCTCATCAACAAAGTTTCCATATTATCCAATCAGTATTCATTTAAGCCTCAGTTACATTTGCTCTATGGTGGTCGTACTGTAGCTTCACTAAATCAATAAAAAAAATCTACATCCTACTGCTTATCCCCATAATTTATGCTGCATCTTCCTATTGATTTTCAGATGCTATGGCTGCCATAGAACTGCCGTAGATCAAGTGTGACTGAGGCATGAGTTCAACTTCCAATCCACATTCTCTACATGTTTCTAAGGGGTCTCTTCACTGAGGCATTAGTTCAACTTCCAATATGACACATTCTCTACATGTTTCTAAGGGGTCTCTTCACTGAGGCATTAGTTCAACTTCCAATATGACACATTCTCTACATGTTTCAAAGGGGTCCATCTTCACTAATGATCATCAGGTTGGTGTCATGTTAATCCTGAGACTTAACAAAAGTTCAACATCATCTAATGATAGTTTATATATGGCTAGTTCATGTAATGCTTTTATAGGGTCCATTTCCTTTGCTTTATGGTCCACGTGTGGGTCGTGTAGAGCCCTATAGAGAACGTCCTTCAACAGTAGAGCAGAGCCTACTTTCATTGTGAGAACAATGCATGCTTCTTTCACGCTGAAACAAAAAATGAACATTTCATTTGCATTGATAAAATCTCACCACATGGTTCAGGGGCATAGCCAGCTTTCAGTCAAGGAGGGGTGCGATCGCCAAAATTGGGTTTCAATCAGAGGGGGAATGGGGTGCAAGTGTGGCATAAACAAGCCAAAAATGAGATTTATTTTGAGTTTTGCAAAAATTGATGCAACTTCCTTCAAAATTGAGCTAGAAGCTTCGAATAAAAAGCATTTTGAACCTCTTTTCTTCTTCTTTCTCATGATTCTATTTTAATTGGTTATGGGGGGGGGGGGTGAATCGCATCCCTGGCTACGCCTATGCGGTTGCAATTAGAAAAGTATCACACAAATGCCAATGGCCCACCACATGACCACTAGTGGCTATGGCAAAATTTCTTGGTGTGACATAAAAATTAGAATTAATTGCAGCCCTCATACAAAGTCTAGTATTTGTGATTAAGATCACCAATAATATTTTGAGCCCTGAGCTTAAATCCTTTTTTTGTGGAGGTTGGAATAAAACCATGTTGATTATCATCGTAAAAATACTTGGTAGCATGTTTATTTGACATTCACACATGACTGTATTCACGCCTTCTATAAACTGTAAACAAAGTCAACATTTTACCCGGGGTATATTCACCAAGAATACCCCTGGCAATATGTGTAATGTGTGACGTCATTTTGGAAGGTCGTAGTAATGGCGGACCAAAATGAATACTCGAAACATTTTGGTGAGTTTTCATGTCTGAATCGTAATATAGACCTCAGATCAGGGGTAATATCGTCTAATACACCCCTTAATAGGACTAGGCACAAAAGCTTTCGAACCCCTCACTCCACTTGGTCGTTCGAGGTACAGAAAATGTTTGAGCCTAGCCCTGCAAGGTGTATATTCGACAATATTACCCCTGCTCTTCGGTCTCTATTTCTTACATCATCTTCGAAAAATCAAAAAATAAAGACATTTGAGGGAAAGTTTAACTTACTCTTTAAAATAGTTTTCTGGTTTAGGAGTATATTCACCAAACAGTGGAAACAGATTCCTCGTCATATCGTAATGTAATTGGTCTCCGCCTCCCTCACTGAACTGGTTCGTAAGGATTAGCTAGAAAACACAAAATACTCAGAGTACACAATTAATGAAATCATAATGTAGTTGGTCTCCACTCCCACCCCCCTCACTGAACTGGTTTGTTAGGATTAGCTAGAAAACACAAATTACTCAAAGTACACATTTAATGAAATCATAATGTAGTTGGTCTCCGTCTCTCTCATTGAACTGGTTTGTAAGGATTAGCTAGAAAACAAAATACTTAAAGTACACAAAATACTCAAACTACAAATACAATGAAATCATATTGTAGTTGGTCCATAAATTCCTCACTGAACTGATTTGTTAATTCTGGTTCCTATACTACTATGGGCAAATAAAAACTCCATATAACAATGAAATAATGTAAAGTCAGATTTTTAACTTCTGAAAGTCTAAACAGTATTTGTTAAGTCAGTCTAAACAGTATTTGTTAAGTTATTGGAACTTTTACAAATTTGCTGCCACCAACCGCCAACTGCCAACTGCCAACCACCAACTGCTGCCACAAAAAACGGAGTCCATAACAGACTTTCCAAATTTAAACACATTTAAACTTTGAACATGTTGAACTACTGCGCATGGACAGTCTGACAGATGATCAATTGGTCCTTTTCAATCGATATACCTTTATCCTTTAAACATATCAATTGACCTTTTAATAAACAGCACATGGACACTAAATGATTTGTTAAATTTCAAGGTCAAAGAAATAAAATCAAGGTAGGTGTCTGACCTTTCATAAGAGTTGTATATTAAACAATCTCAATGATGAAATATTAAATTTTTAGATACACTGACTATTAGTTGAAAGGTGGACAAAGTATTCAACTAATCAAAACAAGCAAGCAAAAAGACACTAAAAATGAAGAAACAAGCAAGGTGACATGAAACAAACAATATGTTTTAGGACTCATGATGCGTGACTCGGAGAATAAATCACTTGAGGGAAAGAAACATAGAAACATGGACCAAACATTAAGACTTATCTGCGTATGTGCTTGCATAGTGATAATTCTAGGGTGTTATATTGTGCATGAAACACAAAGAAGCCTTACTACAATCTCACTGGATTCATTCAAAGACCCCATGCCGCTCCCTCATGTAAAAATGCCAGGTAGTTATTAATACAATTTTCTTTAATAAATAGAGTTTTTCAAAATATACACTATCAAGTACAATTGATTTTTCAGGATTGATTTCCATTATAAAGAGGAGGATTACATTTTCATGCATATTGCAATTTTTTACATAGTATATAATGCTTTGAGGAAAAATGGTGACATGAACAAACAACTACTTGATTGTGTTTAAACTTTCAGAGTCTCAATTCCGTAGCAGGAAGAAAGAACTTAACTGGGGTCACAGATTATTTCTGAATGCAACAATCCACATGATGCTGAAGAAGAAAAATAGTGATGTAAAGGAATTTGACATCAAATATCCACATTCTTGTAAAATATGGAGACATTATGAACAAAGTAAAATAGATCAAACAATGTTAATTTATAGCAAGTATCCAAAGTCTGGAAGTACAACCATAACACATCTGCTGTATAATATAACACTTAAAAATGGAGTTAACTTCAGACATACTTCATCTAAAGGTGACCTTGGCTACAAAGGAATAACTGGACTCCATAAACTTACAAAAATGATTAAAGATTACCCAAAGCCTGTTATTTACATAGCACATGTTGGGTTTTTAGACTTCACTAAAATTGGGTATAATCCGCCTGTTTATATAGATGTGGTACGTGATCCTGTAGAACAAGCTATTTCAATGTTTTATTTCCTAAAACAATGCCGAGCATGCCCAAGAAAAGAAAATAATACGTACAGAGAAACTTTCTTTATGAACATGAGTGATTACATTAATAAATTCGGGGTTGATAAACTTCCAAGAAAAAGTCAAATAAAGTGGTTCTCAGGGATAGATGGTAATGGAAAATCAATCAATATGGCAAAACGAAATATAGAGAAGTATTATCTTTTCATAGGAGTCCAGGAGTATTATGTTCAGACCATGCAAGCTTTAGAGATGCTTCTTCCTATGTTTAAAGGACAACTTCATTCACAAGTACAAGCAGGTGTAAGAATAGGTGCAACAACCTACTCAAAGTTTCCTCCAAATTCACGCCAGCTTCAACTTATGAGAGAAAAATATGCTTTGGACTATGACCTGTATAGTTTCATAGTACAACGATTTCATGATACTTTGAAATGCCTGCACATTTCTTAAGGCCTCCTCACACAAGAACAAAAGCCCTCATATGTCAACTTCCGTGTATTGGAGAACAGGACTTGAATTCATTCCCATTCGTACATGTACATTGTACATTGTTGGTGGTTTCATATGTAGAAGTAAGTACCCCTTCTGAAAGCTTCAGACACTTTTGGAGAGCTTCAGAAATATGCACCTTCAATTCACATATTTGCATTCCAAATCGCCAGAAATGATAAATTTACATAATTTGTTTTGTATCATGAATTTGTTTATGTGTGAGGATGTCTTTGGGTTATATTATGTCTAAAATGGCTTTTTTATCTTTGAAAAGAGCATACTAATATGGTTGAACACAATTTGCGAGCATTGGTTCTCAAATATTTCAACACAGTCTTACTGGATAAGTAAAACAAAGGCATGATGCTATTAACTGACCTTTGCCTCCAAAAGTTGTGTGAGGAACTGGAATGTTGTTCCTTTATTATTAAAATAGATCACATAAATGATTGGCATCGATATGGCGAACTGAATTCAACATTGTTTTCTCTCAAATCAATTATTTTTAACATTCTGTAAAAAAGCACTGTCCTTTATGTAATGGTCACTCATTGACAACAATTTAATACGGAAATTATTTATATATATTTTATTTTATTGTTTTTGTGATCAATTATTGTTTTTTGTTCCTTTCTTCCTATTCTTGAGAATGATAATCCGAATCTTGTTGTAACAAAATAGCATATACGTACAACATTTTCTTAGACCTCTCAATATTATAGTTTTACAAAGGAAAGTTTGGTTCATTTAACAAAATTAAAACCAAAATCCCAAAAATAAATTAAAAATTAAAGTAAACCTTTTATTTTATTAACAAAATACTTTTTTTTAAATGAACCAAACTTTCCTTTGTACAATTACAATATTGAGAGACCTAAACAAGTTGTTTATATGTCATTTTGTTCCAATGAGGTTCAGATCTTCCATTTCATTCCAAACATAGATACCAAGAATTAGTGTCTAATGTGTTTTCTAAAACAATATAGAGAAAAGTATATATATATTTTTCAAATAAAACTGTTACCATTCAAAAGATGATCATAAAAGTGTTGATGAATAAAATTTTCAGAGTTTTGTGATGACTGGTTTAAGAGAAACATGTGTTCAATTCAGTTCATCATATCGATACCAATTCTTTACTGAATTAACTGAATACTGAAGGAAGCCAGTGATTTTGACTGCTGTACTATTATCATATATTATGTTTTGAATGGAAATACATTTGGTTTGTGTTAAGACTTTACATTTGAGTGATCATTTTACATTCCATATTTTGAAAAAATTAAAATCCAAGGGGCATATTGATTAAACCGCACAAAGCCAAATTACATCTGAAATTCACAAAACTACTCAGTCAATTTCTTTGGGATAATCAATCTTAAACGTGTATTGTCATGACTCCAGTCAGAATGAAATCTCTTGCAATTGTAAATTGTGATACGTGAGGAGGAATACTAGACATTGAATTAAAATGTCCCAAAGCCTTGCAAATGTAAATTGTAATATAATATGATTCCCCAGATTCCTGGATGTTTGGTGTGGGGATGCTCCACATTAAAATGATGTCCAGGCCCAAAGTCTTGCAATTTTGAATTGCTCTAGATCGTTCCTGAATGGTAGGGGGATCATCCCGTTCAACCTTGAAATGTTATTTCATCATGTTACATTGTATTAAAAATGTTAGATAATTCAATACACACATAAACTGTAGGACATAGATATTATTGAAAAACTGACAAAAGGTAATTTGGAAAAGCTACAAAACACCGAGCGAAAAATATAAGTTTATGAATTTCAAACACAGATTGACTTTGATCAAACTCCTGCATACTGGCAGATGATCAATTGGTCCTTTTTAATCAATAAAACTGACAAACAAAATTAATTGATTTTGTAACGGTTTCAAGTCAAAATCTGAGCTATTATATCTTTGACCCTTTGAAAATTAGTATATGCAAATTTAAATGATTGGCTTATTTTATCAAGGTCATATGAATAAAATCAAGGCAGGAGTTATCACTACATCAAATTCTGGCTTTTGACTAAAGTTGTACATATATATTGAACAATTTATATGATGAAATGTTACATTTATAGGTACCGAATAACCATCTTATTGATAAGTTGAAAGATGAAAGAAGTATTCAACTAATCAAGGTACTTTGAATGAAAAAATCTAAAAACACAAACAAGCAAGGAAATGGACACAAAAAACAAACAAGCAAATACACATAAAAACAAACAAGCAAACGAATGGGCACAAAAAACAAACAATATGTTTTAGGGCTCATGATGAGTGATTCAGAGAATAAATCACTTGAGGGAAAGAAACATATAAACATGGACCAAACTTTAAGACTTATCTGCGTATCTACTTGCATAGTGATATTTCTAGGGTGTTATATTGTGTATGAAACACAAAGAAGCCTTACTACAATCTCACTGGATTCATTCAAAGACCCAATGCTGCTCCCAGATGTAAAAATGCCAGGTAGTTATGAATACAATTTTCTTTAATAAAAACAATTTTTTAAAATGTATATTCTCTTTGGTGCATATCTTTAATTTCACAAGTACTAATGATTTTTCAGGATTGGTATCAATTATAAAAGGAATAGTGATTACATTTACAAGTACATTGCAATTTTGTTATTTTCTGATTTTCTAAAAATTGAAACAAGGAAGAAATCCATGCGGGGTCATTGCTTATTTTTACAGAAAGCAAATTGAATATAATAATGCTTTAAGGAAAAAATGGTGACATGAACAAACCATTACTTAAACCTGATCATGTTTAAACTTTCAGAGGCTTTATCCCGTAGCAAGACGAAAGAATATATCTTGACCCACAGATTATTTCTTAATGAAACTATCCACATGATGCTGAAGAAGAAAAATAGTGATGTAAAGCAATTTGACATCAAATACCCACATTCTTGTAAAATTTGGAGACACTACGAAAGAAGTAAAATAGATCAATCAATGTTAATTTATAGCAAGTATCCAAAGTCTGGAAGTACAACCATAACACATCTGCTGTATAATATAACACTTAAAAATGGGGTCAACTTCAGATATACGTTATCTAAAGATGCCCTTGGCTACAATGGAATTACTGGACTCCATAATCTTACAGAAATTATTAAAGGTTATCCTAAACCTGTTATTTACATAGCACATGTTGGGTTTTTGGACTTCAGCAAAATTGGGTATAATCCACCTGTTTATATAGATGTGGTACGTGATCCTGTAGAACAAGCTATTTCAATGTTTTATTTCCTAAAACAATGCCGAGCATGCCCAAGAAAAGAAAATAATACGTACAGAGAAACTTTCTTTATGAACATGAGTGATTACATTAATGAATTCGGGGTTGATAAACTTCCAAGAAAAAGTCAAATAAAGTGGTTCTCAGGGATAGATGGTAATGGAAAATCAATCAATATGGCAAAACGAAATATAGAGAAGTATTATCTTTTCATAGGAGTCCAGGAGTATTATGTTCAGACCATGCAAGCTTTAGAGATGCCTCTTCCTTTGTTTAAAGGACAACTTCATTCACAAGTACAAGCAGGTGTAAGAATAGGTGCAACAACCTACTCAAAGTTTCCTCCAAATTCACGCCAGCTTCAACTTATGAGAGAAAAATATGCTTTGGACTATGACCTTTATAATTTCATAGTTCAACGATTTCATGATACTTTGAAATGCTTGCACATTTCTTAAGGCCTCACACATGAACAAAAGCCCTCATATGTCAACTTCCGTGTATTGGAGAACAGGACTTGAATTCATTCCCATTCGTACATGTACATTGTACATTGTTGGTGGTTTCATATGTAGAAGTAAGTACCCCTTCTGAAAGCTTCAGACACTTTTGGAGAGCTTCAGAAATATGCACCTTCAATTCACATATTTGCATTCCAAATCGCCAGAAATGATAAATTTACATAATTTGTTTTGTATCATGAATTTGTTTATGTGTGAGGATGTCTTTGGGTTATATTATGTCTAAAATGGCTTTTTTATCTTTGAAAATAGCATACTAATATGGTTGAACACAATTTGCGAGCATTGGTTCTCAAATATTTCAACACAGTCTTACTGGATAAGTAAAACAAAAGCATGATGCTATTAACTGACCTTTGCCTCCAAAAGTTGTGT